TATCATCCTTTGTAAATAACCCTGTATGTTAAAGTATCAGGAAAAGATTAAAGACTAGTTTTATTTAAAAAAAAAAAAAAAATTAAGTCATCATTGTACAATTTGTTCATTTTAAATCAAATGCGGAATGATAAAGGTGATATTGTTTTCTACCAGATATGGACTGCAGGCTCATCGTAACATTCACTTCGCAATTCAAGCCTTATTAGATAAGATTAGTTTAGGCTCTGCACGCTTTCGCAATCGCAGTTCATTAAATATGAAAGAAAGTAAAAATAAGTCTTGGACTCGAATTATATATTGACCCCTTCCTGTTAAGTCCTTTCCTTTTGCTTTTTTCCCTTTTTATTTTCCAATTTTCATTACCTAACCCTGCTTACCTTTTCTCCATGTTGTATTTCCTTTTTCTCTATTTACTTTCCATTTCTATTTCCCCTTTTTCTTTCCCATTATCAATCCCTTTTCCAAATTTTTAATTCCCCTTTCATCCTTTCCGTTCTCCTTACAACTTTTCCCTTCTCCATTCCCATTTCCATTTCTTCTTACTCACTTCCCTTTCTTCCTACTCACTTCCCTTTACATTTACTCTTTACCCTTTCCCTAATTTTCTCCCAAAAAATCCAAAATTTATGTTATGACGAAGTATTTGTCATAACATTATGCATTGGAAAATGCTTTAAAATAGAATAAAACTTGTCTAAAACCCAAAAATAGATAAAATTCATGGAATTTTATAATTTGGGCTGTAGATATTACTGTGGTCGGTCTGGACCTAACCAGGGCCGTAGATATAACTGATGGTCGGTCTGGACCTAACCAAGGCCGTAGATATAACTGTGGTCGGTCTGGATCTAACCAGGGCCGTAGATATAATTGTGGTCGGCCTGGATCTAACCAGGGCCGTAGATATAACTGTGGTCGGTCTGGACCTAACCAGGGCCGTAGATATAACTGTCGTCGGTCTGGACCTAACCAGGGCCGTAGATATAATTGTGGTCGGTCTGGACCTAACCAGGGTCGTAGATATAACTGATGGTCGGTCTGGACCTATAAACTAGGGCCGATTTAAATCCGTCACGTCCATCTAAAGTAAATTACGCGTTAAATATTATCTGTTTTCAATCATAACTCTTCTTATTGTAGAGCTAAACAGTAAAAAATATCTACCTCCTCCTTCTGTCTAGTTCAATGTGACGTGGTAATGCTGTTTCTCTCTAAACTTTCAGAGAACAAAATGTTATTGTGAAAGTATGGGATTGACAGCGGAGGGAAAACTAGTTTTTTATTCGTCATCATATTTTAAATTCTAGTTAGAATAATTTGGCTACATTAACTTATTAAATTAATAGAAGTAAAGGTAGAAGAATGCAAAGGGTAAGTAGGAAAATAAATATCAGTGTCAATGCAAAAATGCAAAAATATTGTAGTGTACTAAATGATTTGTTAAGCAAAAATAAAAATTGCAGGGATTCGATGCATTGTAGAAAACTGTTAAATAATTGGTGAAATTTGCATAAGAATTAGATTGTATATATTTTCTAATCTGTATCTCTGTTGTTCATAATCTGTATTCAGTGTTCTGTTTTATGCATCGACTGTGTTATGTATCTCTGTATCATGTGTCATTGTATCTTTTATCCCTGTATACCTGTTTCTTGTATCCTGTAGATAGTGTGTCCTGTACATAGTGTATCCTTTATCGTGTATCCCTGTATCTCTGTTTCCCTGTATCTCTGTTTCCCTGTATCTCTGTATCCCTTGATTCCTGTATCCATGTATCCCTGTATCCTTGTATCCCCTGTATTCCTGTATCCCTGTATCCCTGTATCCCTGTATCCCTGTATCCCTGTATCCCTGTATCCCTGTATCCCTGTATTCCTGTATCCCTGTATCCCTGTATACTCTGTATTCTAATTGATGAATTTATTAGAAATCTGAGCTCTCTGTCTGGATATGAGTTCCCATATCAGGGCAAAGGTGCCAAGGTGCCCGGGGAAGAAACACGAAAAAATCTTGTTTGAAAGTAAAAGTTCCAATTAAGACCAAAAATCTCTCCGAAAAGTAGAAGTTCCGATAATGACCTAAAAACTGTATATTTTCGCATCACAAGCATTAATTAAGAAATAATCTGTAAATTTTTCAGAATTTTGCATCATTTTCGATAACGAACCATATGTGTTGACAGAATTGATTTGAGGATTGAGAGAAACTTCAAAACTTTGAGTAGAAAAATCCTAGGCAAAATTTTCAGAATTATTGTCTTATTTGTGTACATANAAAATAGTTTGACTTCTGACTAATTTGAGAACATTAATTTTACAATGGTCTTGGCATCGTTTATGATTTACTCAGTTGGTCCATGTACACGGTACAGGGTTACCCACAAAGAATAAGACTGAAGAGACGATTGTACGAATTTTTTACTGTCTGTTTACTTATATTCACGATTTCCTGCTGCTGTAAACTTGTTTGTTTTTCGTCAAATCATTAATTACGCCATTAAATAACTCATCCTTGGTGGGTAACCCTGTATGGAAAACAGCTCAGAGCAAACATATTAAAAATAATAATAATTAAAACATGGGTCACTTGGGTCTGTCAAAGATATGAAGGAGAGATATAGTCAAATAGGTTTTATTCCTAATCTTGTGATCTTAATAGATTTAGTTGGTTAATTAGATTCATGCTTTTTGTAAAATTGTATTATATTTGAAACCTCGTATCTATTCTTTATCTAAAACAGGATTTGAAATTTTGAATTAATTAATGAAATTTTCTTTTACACCTCCATTAGTCCTACTTCTTTAATTTTTAATCTTCTCGTAATGTTTTCTTCCTTCTTTCGTTCTTTTGACATTCTGCAGCTTATTCTTCTCTTTCTATTTTCCCTTTCCTATTCTTCTCTGCCTCCTTCTTTTCATCATTATCTCCATTTCCCCTTTTCTTTCAAATTTTCCTCCTTCTCCTGGTTGGTTTGTTTCTCCTCTTAGTCTGGTTGAGAATATATATAAGGTTAACCTATCGCCTGGTGAAAGTATAGCCTGGAGCTGACCTAACCTGTCCTAGAGTTTAGACCTGTCCTGCTCCGTGTCTAGTTTAAATCTCTAGGATACAGATACCAGAGCATGGATGGATCAGACCAGAAACTATCCTACCTTGTAAATATACCAGAGCAGGGATGGATTAGAACCCTGTAAATATACCAGAGTAAGGATGGATTAGAACCCTGTAAATATACCAGAGTAAGGATGAATCATAACTCTGCTAATATCCCAGAGTAAGGATAGATCAGAATCCTGTAAATATACCAGAGTAAGGATGAATCATAACTCTGCTAATATCCCAGAGTAAGGATAGATCAGAATCCTGTAAATATACCAGAGTAAGGATGAATCATAACTCTGCTAATATCCCAGAGTAAGGATAGATCAGAATCCTGTAAATATACCAGAGTAAGGATGAATCATAACTCTGCTAATATCCCAGAGTAAGGATAGATCAGAATCCTGTAAATATACCAGAGTAAGGATGGATTAGAACCCTGTAAATATACCAGAGTAAGGATGAATCATAACTCTGCTAATATCCCGGAGTAAGGATAGATCAGAATCCTATTCAACATTCTTGAACAGAATCGATCTCACCCTGTAGATATGCATTCCTAGTCGCAGAGCTGGTAATATCTGATCTAAGTCAAGGATATTTATGTTCAAAGGATCAAAGTATAAATTTTCCTGAACTAATGACAAATTTCAGGGCGCGGGGTAATCTTTGAGGGGGGGGGGTCAGTCATAAATAAGAGTCTGCGTGGATACAGCGAGAGTCATTAAAACTAATCTTTAAATCTTATTCTTTGTGTGTAACCGCGTATAATACACATAAGGTTGCAAGGATTGCAGATCAAGTGCGTGTATAATGTAGACAAGTTTAACGTCTGTGTATTGGTAGAGAATTTACAGGTTTTCGTATATAGTTTTATTAAGCATATTTGCATTGGTAAATATTTGAATCTAAAATCCCCGAAAATATCTTTATGTTAAGGTTGGATATAAACCTTTTGCTAATATTTCTTTAAGTTCAGCAATAAAAACTTGCAAAAATGTATGCCGGGCCGGGTGATCTGAAAACTTGCAAAAATGTATGCCGGGCCGGGTGATCTGAAAACTTGCAAAAATGTATGCCAGGCCGGGTGATCTGATAAAATGAGCATCTTGTAAAAGAATCATGCAGCAACTGCCAGCTAAACGTGTTTCACAACAAACTTTCTATTCTAACGAAATGTTTAAGTTTTAACTTAATAAGCGTTGATCGGAGAAAGGGTAGAGTGCGTTGATGGTTTGCTTGATATATATTGTTTTACTTCTTTTCCTTCTGGTTTAAAATTATCTAAAATCACATTCTCAAACCCTTACTTTTTTTGAGATCCTTCATTTAATGAAATATCTAAAATAATGACATTTTGCTTCAATGCCAAGTGACATTCTTAACATTTTCATCGCTATAATTCATGTCCAGAGGTATTAATCTAAGGGCTGTAAGTAATTTCAAGCGACCCTTATTCATTTGCATGTCCGATTCACTTGATTCCTTTAGCAATGAGGAATATATCGGCGTTTTGCTATTTTGAAAAGTGTCTTGGGATTTCCAAAATTTTAATGATAGTTATAATATGAGAAAACGAGGTAATAATAAAAATAATGATAATAATAATAACANCTAGATTTTACAGTACAGTGATAGCCAGAAAATTTTGAAATAGAAAGACGACTTTTAGACTCTAGTTATGACTTGTCCAATGGGCATGGGATACAGACCCATTTCACTTTATAATTGATTTAATAAGTTTAAAGCTATATTGCTTAGTAACAACATCAAATGCATTGCAGTATTGCTATAATGTCGTCTGCCTATTCTACAGTTCTCTGGTTATCACTGTATATATTTTTGTTCTTATTATACAGATTTGTTTGTTTGTTTTGTAAACAATAAAAAAACCTAAATAGCCCATAAAAATTTATTTTATACCAAAAAGTGAAAATAAGTTAGATATTAAATCCAGTTTTTAGGACAGGCTTCTAGAAACTAGCTAGAAGTATAAATCTAGATTTAACAGTTTCAAACAACTGAAGTTTAATCTTTAGAAGTATAACTAAAGGCCTCAAGATATTGGTTTTCTAGAAAAAACATCGATAAACTGAAGTTTAATCTCTAGAGGCGTAGCTATATTTTCTAGGAAAGATTATAGAAACTAGAGTTAAATCATCAGATGTATAGCTATTGAATTTAAATTAAATTAAAGGCCTCGAGATCTAGCTTTTCCAGAATACAATCTAGAAAACTAGAGTTAAATCAGTAGTTGTATAGCTATACGTCTTATCCTAGATTTTCTAGAAACTGAAGTTTAATCTCTCTAGACGTATACCTAGGGCCTAGATCTAAATTCTAGAATAAAATCTAGGAATTGTAGTTTAATCTCTAGATCTATAGCTAGGATCTAGATCTAAATTCTAGAATAAAATCTAGGAATTGTAGTTTAATCTCTAGATATATAGCTAGGCATCTAATCCTAGATTCTCTAGAATAGACTCTAGAAATTGTATTTTAATCTCTGCTTCCGCCACATCTGCCAGGGTTCGCACTCCCAACCTAAAAAAAATTAAATTTATTAATAAAAAATATATATTTTACATAAATCTAGGCAGAAGGTCAAATTTATTCGACATTACTAGCATTACTTTGATACCTCGTAGCTTTATTGTTTTGATTTTACGCCTAAAAACAACATAATTACTTTGATACCTCGTAGCTTTATTGTTTTGATTTTACGCCTAAAAACAACTTAATCCGGATTCATCTAGTTTTCCTATTCTTTAAAGCTCTTCAATAAAAGAAGTTAACATTTAAAACAAAAAATAGTTTTATTTTACACAAAATTTACTTTAGTTTAACGTGATCATTTAAAGGGAGTGTTCGCGAAAAATGAAAGAGGGTATGGGCTTACGGCGAAAAATTATCGATGGTGATCGCTACTAAGCAATTATTTCTATCTGTTGCGTCTATAAGGAGAAAATTGTCAAAAACGATTTAAACTTAAGAACGTAGCGTCTGTGCAAATTCAGAAAGTTGCAACATTCGACTCGTATCGTAAAAAATCAATTTAATTCCAAACAAATCATTCAGATATTACAACCTATAATCATCGATAATTTTCCGACGCATTCGTCTATTGTTGATATTTCATAATATTTTTTACTTACATATACCATGTACTTTCATATACATATCAGAGTCCGAAATTTGTGCTGCGTCTCAAATCCACCAAAAAAAGCCTTTAATTGAGCGCCAGCTAAAATCTTGAAACATTGAATATGATTTTAAGTGAACCAACCATATTTGAGCCCCATCTCAAATTTAAGCCGCGGCTAAAATTCTTTAAGTTCGGTCACTGGTCTAATTAGTTAATAAATAGCTGCTTAGAACAAGTACAAGGATGTTCAGAATAAACTGTTGCTGTAAGTTTGATCATGACCCTCTATTAAAAAGCAAGGTGAATGTCCGGTTCACAACAGTACCCTTGAAACCTTTATCTGACTCTAGTCAATAATGTGGAGGACAACGTCGTTTTCTAAGTTGATAAGTGTTCAATTCTGATAATATATGCTTTGTTTTCCTGCACCAGTACCCGAATTTAATGAATTTAAGCCGCGTCATAAATCCACCAAAAACCGGCTTCAATTTAGCACCGGCTTAAGTCTTGAAAAATTGAATACAATTTTAAGTGGAACCAACCATATTTGAGCCTCAGGACAATTATAGACTTGGGTATCCAATTCATATTTGAACTTTACAGGGTACTGTTGTAAATCTGACATGCGCACATATTAAATTAAGGGTTACTTGATATATTTAACATTTAAATTTAATTCCGTTTAATTGCTTGCTTTGAGTGAAGAAATTTGTAGTGCTTTAGGCTGAACACTGCATATTCTTCTATTGTTATGCTTCTTATATACAGGAGGTAATTAGGCCTGAAAGGATTTGAACAATAACATAGAGACGAAAGATCCATTATTTAACCGTCTGTATTATACTGGCGATCAGAGATCCAAAAGTTGCAAACTCACACGCAAAAATTCATAAGAATTTTGCAGATTACAAAAACGCTTTTGTGTTTTAAAATGTACATGTCCTTGTCCAGGGTTAAATCAATATAAGTAAGTTGGTAAAATAAAAAAATAAAAAGCACAGCGAAACTTTAAAGCCGAGCAAGTCTTGAAAAATGACATTTCATAGCAGTCTAGATCTATCTAAGAGTTATAGTCGGTAATTGTGATGGACCAAACCTCTGTAGAGTAAAAATAGTAGATGTTAGTTTCACAATTTTTGAAATTATATTTCGGTCTGGGTTGACCCTCGTCAGTTCTAACGAAATAAAAACCATCAAAATCGATTTTAAAAAATGTTAAAAACCACAAGAAAATAAACAAACAAAAAAAATTAATTAAAAAAAAATGGGCTGTCAAATGGGAAACGAACTCAGATCATGAGATGGAAAAAAGATAATTTGCAAATATTTACTTTTTCAACAACGTTTTAAGACAACTATTATTCCTTGAGATTGTTTCTGCCAGGAAGATTAAAACAAACTGTTTATAACTTTATATACGTATTGTATGTGTATAAAGTGGTGGTGGGGGTTGATCCAATTAACGATCCTTTTACTTAAATCGGGGGGAGGGCGGCTTGTTTAGGAGGGGTATTTAAACCTTTCAAAAAATTGGACATGAACAATAATATTTTTTTAATATCTAGAAGAGCGTATCATAATATTGTGGGACTTAGGGACTATTAAGTACTATCTAGATATGTCCAGAAGATTTAATTTCTGACGAAGACGGGTTGAGGGGGAGGAGACACTTTAAAGAACCCCAAGTATTCTGGAGAAGCATCAACCAAAAGTTTGAATTTACTAATAGAAAAAAAGAAAAAGTCGTTTAAATTGGTCTCTGTGTGTGGTTAAAACAGCGTATGCAAATTTTATACCAAAGACAAGAGGAGGGGTCCGTTATTTGTGTAAATATATCTGGTATCTGTTATCTAGTATCTGTATAAATATATCTGGTATCTGGTATCTAGTATCTGAATAAATATATCTGGTATCTGGTATCTAGTATATGTGTAATTATATTTGGTATCTGGTATCTAGTATCTGCATAAATATATCTGGTATCTAGTATCTGTATGAATATATCTGGTATCTGGTATCTAGTTTATGTGTAAATTTATCTGTTATCTGGTATCAAGTATATGTGTACATTTATATGGTATCTGGTATCTAGTATATGTGTAAATATATCTGGTATCTGGTATCTAGTATATATGTAAATATATCTGGTAACTGGTATCTAGTATGTGTAAATATATCTGGTATCTAGTATCTAGTATATATGTAAATATATCTGGTAACTGGTATCTGTGTAAATATACCTGGTATCTGGTGTCTAGTATATATGCAAATATATCTGGTAACTGGTATCTAGTATGTGTAAATATACCTGGTATCTGGTATCTAGTATATGTAAATATATCTGGTAACTGGTATCTGTGTAAATATACCTGGCATCTGGTATCTAGTATATATGCAAATATATCTGGTTACTGGTATCTAGTATGTGTAAATATACCTGGTATCTGGTATCTAGTATATAGGCAAATATATCTGGTAATTGGTATCTAGTATGTGTAAATATACCTGGTATCTGGTATCTAGTTTATGTGCAAATATATCTGGTAACTGGTATCTAGTATGTGAAAATATATCTGTTATCTGGTATCTAGTATGTATAAATATATCTGGTATCTGGTATCTAGTATGTATAAATATATCTGGAATCTGTTATCAAGTATGTATAAATATATCTGTATCTGGTATATAGTGATTATGTGAGATGAGATCTGCAAGAAGTCCCATCTTGGGCAACCCAGACCGCCTACATGACTATCCGACCCGTACCGGTAAGAAAAATATATGTATATGTGTAAATATATAAATATATCTGGTATCTGGTGTATAGATATTAACCTGATATGGGATCTGATATCATCAATGACAGGAATAGAATCAGTCTCTTGCCTCTCTTTCACAGATTTAGCGTCTTCCATCACCAATTCGTTCAGGTCTTCATTCCCAACAAACTAACAATTAAGAAGAATAAATTATTCTAAAAAACCTTTACAGTGGTTCTAAAATAAGTGTGAAATATTAAAGACTTTGCACCATCAAGATATAGAGATAATTTTTTTTTAGTTTTGTTTTATTAGGTTTCAATAATTCCATTTTATTGTGACAAATTTGGAAAATATTTAAAAAGAATAACAATAAGAAAGTAAAGAATGAATGTAGGGCTAGTTCATTTGTTAAAGAATTGTATTAAATATGAATGAATGGAAAACGTGATGAAATAAAACCAAATATTTTGTTTGACATTAAACTTAATATTTGTTTTCCAAGCAGCGCTATACAACAAATAACAATGCATGGAACCTATAGCGTCACGCCTTCAAACTTTCTTGACATCTATTTGAAAATTTAACCAATTATAGTTAAAATGTCGGAAAATTTTAATAGACAAGTTCACACTTTTTGAGATTTCGATTTGAAGACTTTCAGATGATCATTGATCTTCTGTTTTGTCTAATTCTCTTTAAGAATTACAGAACAAACTTTTAACATCAAACATATTGCTTTTGAAAATTACAGTGAGAATCAGAAAACTCCGGAATAGGAAGACGACTTATAGATTCGAGATTTATCTTTGAAAACTCCAATGAACACTAAACACAGCTATTGTGCAGTTTAAACAGACCCATTTACCTTATTTACCTTCCAGATAAGTGATTTGTTAAGCGTAAACATGTTATCTTCATCTTCCCCAGTTTTCTGGTTATCACTGTACTTTACAGTTTAAGCGAACTGGCTGAGTCTTGAATGAACTATAAAGGGACATTTATAAAGTTACATTTTGGAAACTAACATGGCCGACGTATTGTTTTACTTAACCGCGAAACATTTTATTACAAATTTCATAACCCTGGTTCAAATATAACATAAACCGCAATTTCCCCTTTGTTTCTTTGCAAAATATGATTAAATATAAACTAAATAAAAACAAAATGATGACAAACCATGAGAAAACTAATTTATGAATATTTCACCATGTGCATGTATGGAAGGGTGCTCAAAAATACAATGGGGAACATAAAACTGTGGATTAAAGGGACAGACCGGTTATGTAAGGTAGTTAAACTGAGTATGCAGTGTTGTGGACAATTTCTTTAGGATTCATTTGAGACATATATGATTATTGTTTAAAAGGCAGAAAATTTCTCATAACATATTATGTCACTACCCGCAAATGCATAGTTGTTATGTCACTACCCGCAAATGCATAGTTGTTATGTCACTACCCGCAAATGCATAGTTGTTATATCACTACCTGCAAATGCCTAGTTGTTGTCACTACCCGCAAATGCATAGTTGTTATGTCACTACCCGCAAATGCATAGTTGTTATGTCACCACCCACAAATGCATAGTTGTTATGTCACTACCCGCAAATGCATAGTTGTTATGTCACTACCCGCAAATGCATAGTTGTTATGTCACTACCCGCAAATGCATAGTTGTTATGTCAATACCCACAAATGCATAGTTATTATGTCACTACCCGCAAATGCATAGTTGTTATGTCACTACCTGCAAATGCATAGTTGTTATGTTAATACCCACAAATGCATAGTTATTATGTCACTACCCGCAAATGCATAGTTGTTATGTCACTACCCGCAAATGCATAAAAAACGTTTAAAATATTAATTCAAATCAAAATCAAAAGAAACTATGGATACTCTAGTCTGGACTAATGAGAAGGTTCCAATATTTTAAATCTTTATTCTCTGTAGAAGTTTGCTTTTAACAAAATTGCTAATTTGTTACCCTAGAAGAAAATATAAGGCAAAAACGATCGTGTTTTTGGTTCGTTTTTGCCTTATTTTTCACGAGGATAAAATCAAACTTCCACAGAATAAAGTTTTAAAATGTTGTCGTGAACGAATCTACCTATTGCCCATCACTATCTGCAGCCTCTTTAATTTCCATTTTACAATGGGTTTAAATCAAAAAGCAAACGCCGAACATTAGCTGCAGAAAAAATTAAAAGTTCAGAACCTGGAAAAGGGGCGCGAAGAAATCTGAATTTACGAATCTGGATATTTGTTTACGCACAATTAATTTTGTAAGCGATAATGGTGAAAACAATGAAAATATGATAATATCTCGTTATCTGTTAGCAGCATGGGTACGCAACGTTCACAAAAACCTAAGATTAGTACGAAAGATAATAATAATAACTATTGTTTAAAAGGCAGAATATGTCTCATAACATATTTATGTTTACACAATGATTAATATTTCANGGTACTACCCGCAAATGCCTAGTTGTTATGTCACTATACCGCAAATGCATAGTTGTTATGTCTCTACCCGCAAATACATAGTTGTTATGGCACTACCCGCAAGTAGTCAACACGTATTAGCCCACAGAAATACTCCTTCGACCTTCCCAATGAGCTTAAACAATTTACTATTTTTAGCACTTTTGGATATTTTTTTTAGCAAATATGAAATTGATATAGCAGAAAAAATAGATTTTTTGTTGTTGCTTATTTTCAAGTTTCAAACACATAGATTAGCTTAAAGTTGGTGTCGATAAATGTAATATGGAAAATTGACGATTCTTAAAAAATTGATGAAATTAATTCAAATAGAAAAAATTCGCCAAAATTTTAAAATTATTAAAAACTGCAACTTTCAAAACTTAAATTGTCAGTTGGAAGGTGGGGGGGGGGGGGCGTTATAAAATTGTTAAATTCTGCATACCTGTTCTATATTATCAGCTATGTACGCTGTACATGCATCTTCTAGCCTGGGTAAACTGTACAGCCGGCTACTCCGAAGTATTGGCAGTACAGTATCTGCATCTATGTACCGTATCAACCAGTTACCACATTCTCGCTTCAAACCTATTAAATGTACATTGTAAATACTTGATAATACTTGAGGTACCATATTTATTTGCGAGAGGTTGAGAATGTTTTTTTTACAATGCATGACGAGCATGCACTGCAACCTAAGATACGCACGCTCCCAAACAAACAACTAGCAGCATTTTGCGAATTTTTTCTCTTATTTCTTTAAAATGTAATACGTTAAACTTCTCGGGCTACAAAAAATTATAAGTGAGTTGGAGAAGTAAAACTTAAGGCCAAAGCGTTGGGACACTTTAAAGTTGAGGCTGTCTAAAAATTTGATGACTAAGTTTCAGAGTTGTTTATATCTCAGTGCATGTTTAAGTAATCGTTTTCCTGGTATTAAATTTCGGAAATGTGACATATGCCATCAAATGTAATTTAAGACAATAGATCAACTTCCTAAAATTTAAGGGGGAGTCAAAGAAGAAATCTCAATGATTATATTGAAATGTATAAAACACCCCTTAAATGCATAGTTGTTATGTCACTACCCGCAAACGCAAGTTGTTATGTCACTATACCGCAAATGCATAGTTGTTATGTCACTATACCGCAAATGCATAGTGTTATGTCACTATACCGCAAATGTCAAGTTGTTATATCACCAACCGCAAATGCATAGTTGTTATGTCACTATACCGCAAATGCATAGTTGTTATGTCACTGCCCGCAAATGCATAGTTGTTATGTCACTATACCGCAAATGCATAGTTGTTATGTCACTATACCGCAGATGCATAGTTGTTATGTTACTATACCGCAAATGCATAGTTCTTATGTCACTACTCGCAAATGCATAGATGTTATGTCACTACCCGCAAATGCATAATTGTTATGTTAATATCGACAACGCATAGTTTTTATGTCACTATACCGCAAATGAATAGTTGTTATGTCACTACCCGCAAATGCATAGTTGTTATGTTAATACCCACAACATACAGTTGTTATGTCCACTACCCGCAACTGCATAGTTGTTATGTCACTACCTGCAAATGCATAGTTGTTATGTTAATATCCACAACGCATAGTTATTATGTCACTATACCGCAAATGAATAGTTGTTATGTCACTACCCGCAAATGCATAGTTGTTATGTTAATACCCGCAACAGCATAGTTGTTAAGTCACTACCCGCAACAGCATAGTTGTTATGTTAATACCCGCAACTGCATAGTTGTTATGTTAATACCCACAACGCATAGTTGTTATGTCACTATACCGCAAATGCATTGNCTATATTACTACCTGGAAGCAGGAACATCTCCGCCACACTCATCAACTCCTGGATGTTCTCCTCTGTGCAAGTGCAGGTGTTTGTGTACACAAATACAAGTACATCACCAAACACTTAAAATTAAAATCTATATAATAAAGCTTTTCACTCATATGTAATTGGAGGCTAATAAGTTTTGCGAATGAAAACCCTATGAATCACCGTATTAAGCATTGCTCTCCATTTTATGCATTTATTAAATTCCTCTTTAATATCCATGCAGCGATGATTAAGAGATCAAGCTTTCAAGATTAGAGATATTCCACTCAAAAATACCGACCTCAGTTCACTTTATACTTTAGATTATCGATGTTTTCAAACTTTGACCTGGGCAACGCCAGGCAATTCAATAAGTTTCTCATAAAGGAACTCTTTATTTATATTCAATATATAATATAGTCAATTTTGAAGCTATTTCAATCTTTTTTTCCGTTTAGTGATAAACCGTTCTCCACGGACCATTCTAGCAAGAGGTGCAGGCATTTGATCATCTTTAATGTAATCAGAGACGAGCATGTATATAATGGGTGATTATGTTTAAATGGGGATATGAAGAGGAAAAGGCCAAGGAGAAGGGGCAGGGTTAAAAGTGAGTTGAGGAGGTACACCCTACATCCCTGTATTCCCTGAATTCCCCCTACGTCCCTGTATTCCCTAATTACACCCTACATCCCTGTATTCCCTAATTACACCCTACATCCCTGTATTCCCTAAATTCCGCCCACGTCCCTTTATTCCCTAATTACACCCTACATCCCTGTATTCCCTAAATTCCCCCCACGTCCCTTTATTCCCTAATTACACCCTACATCCCTGTATTCCCTGAATTCCCCCCACGTCCCTTTATTCCCTAATAACACCCTACATCCCTGTATTCCCTGAATTCCCCCTACGTCCCTGTATTCCCTAATAACACCCTACATCCCTGTATTCCCTAAATTCCCCCCACGTCCCTTTATTCCCTAATTACACCCTACATCTCTGTATCCCCTGAATCCCGCCTTCCGTCCCTATATTCCCTAAATCCAGCCCTGGGTCAATGTATTCCCTGAATCCACCCTTGCGTCCCTGCATTCTCTAAATCCACCCTACGTCCCTGTATTCCCTGAGTACGCTTCTGCTTCTGTGTTCCCTGAATCCACCCCTGTATTACTGTATTCCCTGAATCCACTTTCCACCCCAGCGTCTCTGTATTCCTGAATCCTGAATCCACCCCTGCATCCCTGTATTCCCTGAATGCGCCCCTGCGTCCCATGTGTTACTTGAATCCACCCCTGATTTCCTGTAATCCATAAACCCACCCCTGTATCCCTAAATCCACCCCTGCGTCCATGTATTGACTGAATCGACACCTGCAGTCCTGAATTCCCTGAATGTGCCCATGCATACATGTATAATCTAATGAGCTCCTACGGTCCTGTATTTGGATCCCCTAAATGCGCCCCTGTGTTCATGTATGCTCTAATGCGCTCCTGTATTCCCTAAATTCGTTCCTATATTACTACCTGGAAGCAGGAACATCTCCGCCACACTCATCAACTCCTGGATGTTCTCCTCTGTGCAAGTGCAGGTGTTTGTGTACACAAATACAAGTACATCACCAAACACTTAAAATTAAAATCTATATAATAAAGCTTTTCACTCATATGTAATTGGAGGCTAATTTTTAAACATTTTCAACATTCATAAACCTTCCCTGGAGTCATGTGTGGTCCCAAGCAAAATTTGGGCCTGATCGGTTCAGCCGTTTTGACGCTTTTTTATCGGAACCCATGAGTGGGGTGACAAAGGCTAAACAATGTTTAATTTTTGAAATTCAATGGGTATTGTCGAGTATTTGCGATAAAATCATAATTTAATCCAAAGAGCGGGTAAACGGCAGGTTTAACTATGACCATGAATAATACTAAAAACCTAGGCAACGCGCACCGGGTGCTCTATGGTTAGGTTAGGTTAGGTTAAGCTAGTAATCTATAGAATATCAGAATTACCCACAATAGTTAATGAGACTTTATAGACGACTGAAAGGAATTAATTCAGTCTGTTTCCCCACATCAATACCAACGAGGTTATAGTAAATAGATTGATGATGTACGCTAATCAATTATTAATTGTACAGGCCGCCATATACTCCACTTTCAAAGGTCAATCTTATTTCTGAAAATATTTAATTGGAGAATTTGTTTTCCTATTAACTATTAAAATCCACTGCACCTAGCTTTATCGTGTGCAGGGAGGGAGGGGAGGGAGGGCTTGGTGACGTCACTGAGGCTGGGAGACCAGTTTTGCGGGGCCTGGAGGTAATTCTGCAAATCCTGAGGTTCGGAGGTAATTTTAGCGGGGATCATGGCGCCTCTGCACCCCCTCCCTCGTGCAGGATCATATTTTTACAGGAAGACGTACTATTGCAGTCTTTTACAGAGCAATATTTCATCGTTTATAAACGGTTTTGAAAAAACTGAATGAAATTCAAGATACAAAACCTCCCCATACCATACACTTACTCCGAAAGCGCACTGCATATTTGATGTTTGTAATCTCTTTATATCCTTCATCAGTAAACTGTCCTAAGTGTACACTAAGGCTAATATACACGGACAGGTAGCTAAGATCCAGCCCTCCTGATCAATACGGTTCCCTTTCCTGTAAGCTGTTTATTTCTTCTATAATAAGACAAGACACTCATATATCCGTGTAGCAGGATAAACAGCTGAACCGAATGGGAAAATTTTTTTTAGGGAACCAGGGGTAAGAGAGTTCCCGGGGGAACAAAATTTGTTTTTCTCAAAATATTTTTCTGAAATATTCCATCGGGCAACAATTTACAATGTAGATTGGACCTTCAGATCTGTTCATTGAAAAAGGTTCCCACCTACATTTTGATCTCTAGAACTCTCAAAATTGGCAATTAAAGCTTGTTCTTTTATATTTACCTAACATAGGTTTTATGTTTTACAAACTGTATTTTAGGTAGAATACCATATAAAATTTAATGAATTTAAATGAATTTGGTCATTAAAGTCTTATCCATCGTAAGTAGCCTTGTAACTTTCATTTCTTTTACAATTTGTATTTAATGCAGAATACCAAATTGAACCTTCAGATTGAGGAATTCAATGAATTTTAGGTCGTCTTTAAAGTCTTATTCTTTGAAGATAGACCTGTAACTTCCATATCTTTTACAATCTGTATTTAGGGCAGAATCAATATTGACCTTTCAGATCTAGAAATTTGATGGATTTTTGGTCTTTGTTAAAGTTTATTTTTTTGTAAGATTCTTTAACTTTTATTTTATTTGAAAACCCTTGAAAAAGTGTTTGGAGGGAAGTACAGAATATTTTAATCCTCCTTCTTTCAAAAAGTCCAAAAAAACCTTTTAATTAAAAGTTTACTCCTGATTCCTGAATAAAAAAATTCTCACAGGCCAATTAAATATCAGACAGACAAATCAATATACATATTACGATCTCAGAGTTAAATTAAGACGTCTGCCGTGAATTTAGTCTATGAAAGGCCTTTTTAAAGATTTTCCAAAGAAAAAAAAAGTTTACAGTTGCAGGGAATCATACATATACGGAAACAGACAGTACAAATAACCTTGAGGTGAAACATGGCGGATGTTTATAACAGGAATGTTGGAAATGTCGTCTTCTTCATATTCACAGAAATGATCCTTGACAAAAATAAAATAATAATAATGATAGTAATAGTAAT